CACATGGACACCAGGTTATAGTCTAACAGGTTTATTTGAAATCACAAGCATTTGGAGCGCTGCCCCTTCGTCAGGTGAAGTATTCACCTGAAGGAGCAGCACTCCGAAAGCTTGCAAATAAACCTGTTTGACTCTAACCTGGTGTCCATGTGACTTCTGACCCTAATTTTTAAACAATGGCCCCTAGTTGTAGATTCTCCTGGAATTCTCTCCACCCAGTCAAGCCCTTTCAAGGATTTTATATGTTTCAATCTTACTCTTCTAAACCCCAGCAGATACAAGCCAAGTCTGTCCAAACTTTCCTCATAAGATAACCCACCTAAGACGGGGACAGTCTAACAAATGTTCCCATTCAGCTTCCAATTCATTGTCATCCTCCCTTCAATCAGTTGAGTCGCCATACTCTCACCAAACCATAGGGCTGCTCTCTCATTAGAGAGAGAGAGAGACAGCTGGTGGTGGTTTAACCTGAAGGTCACCACACCTGAGACAACGGGAGAGGTTGAGAAGGAGAGTCCTTCATGGTAACCTCAGTTGGTGCAGGGATTGAACCCACACTGTTGGCATCACACTGCTTCGCATATCAACCCTCGAGCCAACTGATCTACTCTACACAGAACTCCAGATGTGGTCTGATCAATGCTGTGCACAAGCGAAACATGACATCCTTACTTTTGCATTCAATTCCCTTCGTAATAAAACGTAACATTCTATTAGCTTCCTAATTACTTGCTGTACCTGCACACTAACCTTCTGTGATCCATGCACCCAGGTCCCTCTGCATCCTAGAGCTCTGCAACCTCTCACCGTTTAGATAATGTGGTTTCTTTTATTCTCCCTTTCGAAATGGACACTTCCATATTTTCTTACATTATACTGACAGATCTTTTCCCACTCACTTCACCCGATCTGTTATTAAGTACCTTATGTCCTCTTCACAACTCACTTTTCTACCTAGCTTTGTGTCATCAGCAAATTTAACTACCATTCCTTTCATCCCTTCACCCAAAACATTTACATAAATTGTAAAGATTTGATGCCTCAGCACTGACCTTTGTGGTACACCCACTCATGCCAGCCTGTAAAAGATCCACTTATTCCTACTGTCTGCTTCCTGTTAGCCAGCCATGTGGAAGCACACATGTCGATACGTTAGCCCCAACATCATGAGGTTTGATTTTCTACCAAATCTTTGATATTGCACCTTATCAAATGCCTTCTGGAAATCTGCAGTTAATCCCAGTTCTCCTATTTATCCACTCCATTTGTTATCAAAGAACTTCAATAAGTTCATGAAACCTGATTTCCCTTTAACACAACATTTTCAACTCAGCCTGATTACCTTGAACTTATCCGAGTGCCCTGCTATTATGCCTTTAATAATAGCTTCTAACATTGTCCCTGTGACAGGCATTAAGCTAACTGGCCTGTAGTTTCCTGCTTTCTAACTCCACCCCTTCTTGAATAAAGGAGTTACATTCGCGTTTTTTGAATCAAGTGGAACCTTTCTCATGTTTGGGAATTTTGGAAAATTAAAACCAACACATCAACTATCTCGGTTCATCAGAACCTGGGCATATGTCAGCCACAGCTCCAACAATTTACTCAGTACCACTTCCCTGGTGGTTGTAATTTTCCTGAGTTCCTCCTTCCCTTCCATTTCCTGATTTACGACTCCTTCTAGGACGTTACTTGTATCCTCTATAATGAAGACTGAAGCAAAAACTTCATCAATTCATCAACCACCTCTTTATTTTCCATTATTAATTCCTCAGATTTATTTCTACAGAATCAACACTTATTTCATTAACTCTTCTTTTTAAACAGAAACTCTTACTGTCTGTTTTTATATTCCTATCTAACTTTCTCTTATACTCTAATTTGTCCTCATTTTTCTTTTTAGTTACAGTTTGATGTTTTTATACTCTAACCAAACCTTGGACATGCCATCAACATTTGATTTACATTCAATGCTGGCTTGAGCTTTTGTTTTTTTAGGTAACTGCAGTTGTTAGATCCTTTCCTAGAGTTTTTCATTGCCATCTACCTATTCTGTGCATTCTGGACCATCGCCTAAAATATCTGCTCCTGATTCTCTAATGACCTATCCCCAACTTTATTTGCCAGTTCACTTCATTTATCTCTTGGTCTCAGGCCTGCTGTTGCACTCCTGATCAATGCAAGCTGGAGAAACAAGACCTCATCTTCCACCTCAGTACCTTACAGCCCTCAGGACTCAACATTAAGTTTAACAAATTTCAGAACGTGAACACCCTCCTCCATGTTTGCTACCCTCCCCCTACACCCCCCAGGTCCTGGCCTGTATGAAGGCTGCTCCCAACACAGCCAACCCCATTTTCATTCATTTACATCTCACTCACATTCCACTCAGCTATTACCTCTCTCTCAGTTTATCATCAGCAACCCTTTTGTTTGCCTATCGCTGTTCACTCTCTCTCTCTCTCTCTGTCTGTCTCTCGCTCCATCCCTTTTGATTTGGTTTGATTTGCTTTGATTTGTTTTTATCACATGTACCTAAAGTTTTGCATGCAGAATGAGCAGACCATACTATACAAAGTACATTGCAGTAATTGAACAGAGTGGAGACTGCAAAGTTACAGCTGCAAAGAAAGTGTATAAAGAGCAAGATCAACATTAGATTTGAAATTTGAGATGTCTATTCAGAAGTCTAATAACAGTGAGGAAGAAGCTGTTTTTGAACCTGTTGGTATGCGTGTTTAAGCTTTTGTGTCTTCTGCCTGACGGAAGAGGTTGGAAGAGATTTTAACCGGGGTGGAAGGGGTCTTTGATGATGTTGGCTGCCTTCCCAAGGCAGCAGGAAGTGTAGATGGAGTCAATAGATGGAAAGTTGGCTTCCATTCTCTCCCCTCCGAAATACCACCTTTTTCTGGTTATCTCCAGCTGTAATGAAGGGCTTGGACATTGGGGACAGTCAGAGGAGTGGGCCATATACAGTGCTGCAGGTCTGATACAAGGGGGATCTATGGTCAATCAGCTGGGAAGCAGGACAGAGGTCAGCTAGGGGTCTGATCACTCATCTGTTGGGACTGTCTGGCCAAGTTCAGCCGAGGGATGGGTCCACGGTCAGATCTGGAGCTCAGCTCACTAAAAGTCATGGGGGTTGGTGGGGAGGAATGGTATCTGTTGTGGGAGGGAGTTTGTGGAAGTCAGCAGAGGGGACTAAAGTCAGCATGCTGGGGTGCAGAGGAGACAATAATTGTGAAAGGAAAAATCTTAATGTATCAGGGTGGGAGACGCAAGGGAATTGGAGCAGATGGATCACTATGGAAGGAGGCATCATTGACGGCCATTTTGATTACAGACAACTGATCTTGAGACAGTGTCAGTGCAACACAATTGCTGGTGCAGGATTTGAACCTGGCTCCTCAAACACTAGCTGAGCTTGCGGATTAATAGGCCAACAATAATACCATTAAGCCTTCACCTCGCCATGTCACACAAGTGTCAGGCAATGACCATTTCCAAAAAGAGAGAATCATTTGTTGCACTTTAACATTTAATTGTGTTACCATCACTGAATCCACCACTATCAACATCCTGGGGATTATCATTGAACAGAACCTCAAATGGACACACCATATAAATACAGTGATTATAAGAGCAGGTCAGAGGCTAGGAATCCTGCAGCGAGTCACTCACTTCCTGACTCCCAAGTCATCCTCATCATCAACATCATCCTTCAGGAGTGTGGTGGAATACTCCCCACTTGCCTGGTTGGGTGCAGCTCCAACAACACTGAAAAAGCTTGACACCATCCAGGACAAAGCAGCACACTTGATTGGCACCATATCAAGAAACATCCTCTCCCTCCACCACTGATGCTCAGTAGCAGCAATATGTACTATCTACAAGATAGAGATTCATCAAAATTCCTTCGGCAGCACCTTCCAAACCCACGATCTCTATCATCGAAAAGGACAAAGGCAGCAGGTGCATGGGAACACTTTCTCCTGCAAGTTCCCCTCCAAGGCACTCACCGTCAATGTGGAAATATATTGCTGTTCTTTCAGTGTCACTGGGCCAAAATCCTAGAACCCGGCATTTTGCACTGCAGTAGTGAAGAAGGCAATGCAATACAACCTTCTGAAGGGCAAAAATGATGTGCAACAAATACTGTATCAGCCACTGAAGCACACATTCCCTGATATATGGAGATGTTATTGATTTGGTGGAGTTATTTATTGAGGTATGTTGTTGCTTTTTGGAAGTATTATTGATTGGGGATAAGATATTGATTGATAGATTGTATTACTTTTTGGGTATATTATTGATCAGAGCTATTATGGATCAGAGATATTATTGATTGGTAGAGATATTATTGATTATTGAATGTATTATTGATGTGTGATATTTCTGATTATTGGGAATATAATGGTTGGAAGATTTTACTGATTATTATGTGTATTATTGATGGGAGATATTACTTACGATTAGGTATATTGATGGGAGATGTCACTGATGATTAGATGTATTATTGATGGGAGATATTACAGATGATTGGGTGTTTTATTGATGAAAGATATTATTGATTATAAATTATTATTAATTGGAAATATTACTGATGATTGGGTATATTATTCATGGGAAATGTTATTGATGATTACGTGTATTTTTATTGGAGATATTACATATTACTAGGTATATTATTCATGGGAAATATTACTGATTATTAGGCATACTATTGATGGGAAATATTACTGATGATTGGGTATATTATTGATGGGAGATGTTATTGATAATCAGGTGTATTATTGATGGGAGATATTTTGATGATTGGGTGTATTATTGATGAGAAATTACTTATGTTTATGTATCCTATGGATGGGCGATATTTCTGATGATCGGGTACATTATTCATTGATGGATGCCTAACTGTATCAATGTTGCTGAGGTGCAGCTTGAGCAGGAAACAGGGAATGCACCCTCAGTGCTCCCCGGAAAAACCCTCCCCCGGCTACAGCAGGGAACGACGTCGGACCAGAAACACAGGTCACAGCAACACCCGGACACCGAGAGGGACGGACGCAGTTCCGGTGGAGGGCACGTCCGAATGGAAGGAGCGGCAAGAACACGGGTCCAGTGACAGGTGCAAAGTAAGAAAACTGCCAATAAATCTGTTAATATATAACACTGGGGTACAGTACTGGTGGGGACAGGTCTGTCACTGTAT